CCAGGCGGTGATGGTCTGTGGCGAGAAGCTATAATCTTAGATAATGAACCTCATGTGTGGTGGCTGGTTCGTGGTGATAATAAATTGCCTTTCTCTTTATTTGCGTAAAGCTTTGGAGGCTGATGATGCCCCCTTTGTATTCCGGTTGTTTTCTTTCGACTTGTGGTGTATAAAGTGTTCCAATGAAAAAGAAAAAAAACAAGAGAAGTCTATGAAGTGTATAAAATTTAACTAAATTGCCTAGCTTGTGGTATATTTTCTTTTAAAATCAAATCAATTTTCTATCAAGTCGGATTATATAGAGACTATCCTATCAGGTTAATCCGGTTAAAACCATGTTAAATTTAAATTAGTTTTTTTATTTAAAAAAACTCATTTTGTTTCCCCCCCATCATTTTAAGTCTTCGATCTTGCTACAATAATTTGGAACCTGAAACTAACAGTTGCCTTCATCTATTTTATAAATAACCAAAATAATTTTGAAAAATTAGGAAGCTTTAAATAATTTTGAAAAATTAGGAAGCTTTAAAATCTTCACTAGTGATGAGGCTGAAAAAGATTCTCAGAAAAGGAAAAAAATTATGGGTGTTTTTTATGGGATTATAAAAATAGATCCGGAAAATTTGGTGGACCGATATTATTTATTTACATGAAAAACATTTTGAATTATATTTTAAATTATAAAACTTAAAATAATATAGTGTTTGTACACATAATTAAAAGAATGAATTGTATTATTTATTCTTAATGTTTCTTAAACCTTGTTTTCTTGTATTACACTTGTGTTATATCTTGTATTGTGTAGAAACATGAAGTCAAGATGAGCTTTGAGACCTTAGCTCTAAATAGGTGAACTTCGTTTGTACAGAGTATTTTAAGTTAAATATATTAATAAATATCTAAGTTTTAATATATTTTATATAAATATTTCTATATATTTATAGAGATATTTATATATAATATATAAATATCCTATATATTTATGACATGAGCCTAAAAAAGTATTTTATATTTTGTTTGTATAGAGTTTATTATGAACTCTTTTCAAAGTTGGTTTTAGCTATAAAAGAGTTTTTGAAAAACATTAATAAAATGATTTTTTGGTTTATTTTTTATAGACAACATCAATTATAAAGTTAAAAGAATTTTTAGTAAAACATTAGAGAGTTTTTAATGTGCTGATAAAAGTAAATCCAAAAGATTTAGTGAACTAAAAATGCTTATAAGAAAAACACTCTAGCACTTAAGTCAATATAATATTTGTATAGATCACGGGGAAAGTGAGTTATATACTTTAGTCTTAAATGCTTGTTTAGAGATATGAAATCTAGAGAGGAGTTTTGAAACCTGAGCTAGATGAACTCTTTTTATATAATTTTTTTTAAAATAAATATATTTAAAAATATATAAATTTTAATATATTTTATATAAATATCTTATAAATATCCTAGTTTTTATATAAGATATTTATAAAAATATATATATTATATAAAACACCATATAGACACAATTGAACCCAGCTTAAGAATTAATATTACTCCGTAGTTTTTTTTATATATCATCAACTAGTCATTGATAAAGTTTTAAACTCATGGAGATGTGCCATCTGCAATTATATTCTTAATTCTGAATTTATCTTTATCTTTGTAAACCAAATTCTTAATGTCAAGTGTATGAACAAAAATCAGATTTTTTTATGTACTTGGGTTCATTATTATCACATTATATTTATAGAGAATTGTAAAAAGCATAGAGGGGATATTGTTTTATCAAGCACTGTGGACTCACAGCATTGCGGGTTTGTTATGTCCATGAGTTTGTTTGTTTTTTTTTCACTCTTTTTTCTTTGCCCTTCAAGGCCTAATTAGAGACTAATTTAGCTAAAATTGGTAAGGAGTGACAAAATTAAAAAATAAAAGACTAAAATGAAACACACAAAGTGTTCAACTAATTTTTTAATTGTTTTTTCATTACTTAAAGATGGGTGGCGTTTTTTATTTTTTTTCAAAATGTTCAATTTTGTCCTTATTTTTTACTAATTATAACAATTGGGTCCCTTTAATTTTTAAAGTTTCAATAAAAATCAATTTTCATCCAAAACTTTATTTTTTTTCTAAAGTTTTTGATTTGAGAGAGGAGAGAAAAAGTCACTGTATTTCAGCAATAAAAATAAAAAAATATTATTGACATTGATTTTGATCATCAAAATAGTTAATTTTTATGTTAAATGGTTCTATTTGATAAGAGAAGTTTAACTTAGGTGTCGTTTTACCTTCAAAGAGTCTAAAAAAAATATTTGAGCTTGGTAAGACTTTTGGTTATGAGTTGATTTTGGCTTTCAAGATATTTTTTAGAGTTTTTTAGATTATGGATGTGTTTATCAAGATATTTTGGAGCAAAAAAGGACCGGAAATAGAGTTTGGGGTAAAAAAACCTTTAGTCTTGATTTTTTGGGTACCATAAGGATTAAAGTCTAGGAAAAATCAAATGATATGTTATCTAATTTTTTTTCATAAAAATTGAGGAGAGCAACATTTCATCCCATCTATTTTCCATAAAAAAAGGGCCTAAGCATGTGGATCCTTAATAAATAGGGTAGGCTAGACTTAACAGTGCTTGATATTTTTATTTTTTTCTATATTGGTTTTTTTATTTATACCTTTTTTATATATTTTTTTTTCAAAATATTTTTTTTAAAATTTTATTTAAATTAATATCCCTTCTCTCTTTTATTTTATTTATTGAGCATATTTTAAATAAAGATTATTTTTTAGTTATTTTGTATACATCTAATTTTTGAAGAGATTATTCTAATTCATCTATATTTTTTTTTTTATGTTTTATATAAATAAAAAATAATTATTTTTAGATAATATTTTTAATATGTGTAACCTTATATAATATTGTTTCCCCTTGTATTTTATTCAATTTATAAGTATCGATTATCATTTGAATAAATAAAAAATTGATTTTGATAAATAAAATCATTAAATACGGTCAAACCAAATATCTTGATTTATATATATTTTTTTATTTTTTTTATTTTTGTCTTTATTTATCATTAATGATTTTTTATTTATTTATTAACACATATGATTCTCAATTTATTTAATTGCATATATGCATAAGCTTTTTGATTTATATTTAAAATTTTTTTATGTAAAAAAACACGTCAAAAAAGTTTTTATATATAATTTTTTTATATATTTTTTTAATATATAGTAAAACGTAGATCAAATAACTAACATCTTTTAAACATGGTTCATGTCCCTATGCTCGAAAAACACTTTCTTGGAATACTACGTGG